TGCTTCGGCACGAATGGGCCGGCTCAACCGGAGTGATACACGGCCTCACAGAAAACCGACGTGAAGCAACGCTTGCGTTGTGTTTCGTCGTGTGAGTGAGGTTACCGGAGGCCCAATTACCTTCCCCTTCCCCAATCTCCCCAATCCCTGAATCCCCAACGATCCTCAAACTCCTAATTATCAAAAAGCTGGTGACGCACTTGTAACGCCTCTGGTGTTCCAGGTGTCCATGGGCGACGCCGGTTGCTTACCATCAGGTGATCCGTCTGCTCGTTTACCGGCTTATGCCATAAAAAAAATACTAACACATTACATTTTCCAATTTTCCTGTTTCAAAATGATCACATCGAGAACAAGACAGAAATTTAATTGCATATACAGTGTTCTAACTACAATATAATACTGACACCAATCGAAACCTCCCTGGTCCCTTAACCCAGCACTCCTTGCGACCCCAGACTCCGGAGAAATAAATATGTTTATAACTTAATTTGCTGTCCACCCGCGTCTGTCGCTTTAATATTAATAAATTCTCATTGGTTGGATTCGCTTGCAATTTGCCGTCGCCGTCCAAAAGTAAAACTTACGACGCACCCTAGTCCTAAATAAGTAGGGGCAGGGACCGAAAAAAAGGAAAATTCTGTAATATTTCCGTGGACAACTCTGTTGGTGAAATATTAGGAGTTGTCACTGGTTCCAGGGCTGGTAACGGCGGTGCGAATGTATGTAAGCAATTTCGGTGTTGAAATAACAATATGAAAGAAATACATAATTATTTGTAACCGAGAAAAGTTTGTATAATGGTACTAGTAGTCAGTTCGATTCCAGGGTCGGGCAAAGTGTAAGTGGGTTTTTTTTTATAAATTCTCAGTAGTAGCACGAAATTTGAAATTGTGCGCGGTATATGGCAATAGGCTCACCTCCTATTACATGGGACTCATGACATAAATAGTGAAAAGTGGGTGTTACATTGTACAGCGGCATTAAGTGCCGTAAATGTGCACACTGCACACGTCTGCCTACCCCTTCGGGGATAAAAGGCGTGATGTTACGATGTTACGTTTACTCATATTACCCTTTACTTTAATGACTAAGTTTTTCCAACAATTATGTCAAATGAATACATTAAGATACCAATGAGGCAGCAAATATATCCTCTACATCAGTCTACATAAACCTAATTAAGTGCTAGGACCCATATAATCATGTTAGACTTCAAGTACCAGGGCAACAGAACAAGCTAAAAGATTATATTCATTTACACTCCTCACAAGTGCAGATATAACATAAATTATCTTATAAATATAAAGAGGAAATAATTAATATGTCATCCTCATCCTCGGAGATATAAAATAACATCAACAAACCACTCGATCCTTCAAAATCAACTGAGAAAACTGCGTCTAGGTAGGTCGTATCATGCTAGCATTTATCTTATGAATTTATCTAGGTTCATTCCACCGCGGTGGTTCGCAAAGGAAACCTGAGCCTTCGTAATACTACACCGCTAGACGCATGGATATACTCCTCGCGTTTATGTGGTCCTAGTACGTTATTATAATTGCTGTTATGTGCTTATTGAAATTTTTTATTATAAATAACTTCATAAGCGTCGCTTTTAGGTTTTAAATTGTGTTTTGTAGGTAATACCTAATCGTTTTACTTATATTTTTGCAAAGTGGGTTTCAAGATGACTTTTTATTGTTGTGGTAAGCCCGCCACAACCTCCCAAAATCGCTACAACTCCTGTAACCTTGGATCTATAACAATCTGGAGATACACAACCATGAAAACACCGAAAAGTTGAGGATGATTTGTTAGAATTTTTCATTCTTGAACCCTTGGTATTTTCAGTCAGTAACACTGCCAAATTCTGATAGCTTGTAACAGACAACCTACTGTGTTTTTTTGTTAATAACGTACATTAAACGAAGAAATAAAGAGCATGCTATGCCGTGGTTAAGATAAAACAAAAGTAATATCTATCTGCACAAGAGCAACTAAGAATATTATGTAGAATACGGTAAACAAGATTATTTATGTAGTTCCTTGTTTAATTTAATTTAAATTATCTCCATGTCTAGGAATTCCCAAGCTTCTAGGTTAACAGTCAAGTGTCGTGTTTGAACAGTTTGCAATTGCATCTCGCGGGCTCAGCCTCGCGTCGTGCGGGGAAACTATTCATGTTAAATTGTACATACAACTGTTACATGTACTTGTATTCAAATAATTTAAGTCTCGTCAGATCTCCAACTTATTATTCCGCTAACAAGTTGAACATTCACAATTCTCTCCCACGAATGAATAGTTCAAAACTTGTGAACATTGTTCCAAGTAATATTAATACAATTTCACTCCAACAATCAGTATAACAATGTCATTATCCGATCCGAAACGTAATAAATTACCAGGAGATCATAAGTACAAGCAACTGAGCGCACCCAAAAACAATATGGAGTCTTGTCGCGCGACGGGCGCCCTGTACCGGGATTATTACAGACTTATAATTATTTTTAGCCCCCCGAAAGGGCTTAAGGCAGCTGCGTAGGATTTGTACTAAGACTGGCGTTATTCAATATTATTTTCTTTCGGGAATTTCGTGGGGAAGCGTTCCAGGTGAGGCATTATGTGAGATTTGCAGCGTCTGCGAGGATTTCACGATTAGCGGATGATGTAAGCCGAAAGTTTGTAACATTAACGATCTTGATTTAACCTCGACCAAGTTATATTCACGTGGGATTCTACAGGTTTCATGCTCCATAAGAAATAAAAGCTTATCGCCGGAACAGCCATGTTTTTACGTAAGCCAGCAATCTCTCGCAACAAACCAAACGCTATCCGGACAAAATCTATGAAATTCAAACGCGACCGTTATTACACGTACCGCGGGCAATTTTAAAATTCAAAACGCTCCCAGTCACGGACATTCGAATTGTTACCAATATCGCATGCACCGCACTGAATTTAAATTCACATACAATACTCACGACTCCGCGTTACCCACCAGATCATTTCACTTCCCTTTTTGGTCGCGGAGCGCTCGCTACCGAATTAATTCAAACGCTTCATTCGATTCCATCGAGCCACTGTAACTGTGTAATCGCATATCAATCGTTCCATATTCGAACACTCGACCTTTGTGGTCAAGGATTCGAACGTGGGACAACCATTCATTTGTTTCCCGCCGGCGGGCGACCAATCAGCGGCGCGAGCAGCCCAGGTGGCGCGCTGTCACCGCGCGGCATTCCATTTCCCGCAGACCGTAATCGAATGAATATTACAAACGTCAAACTGACAGCTATGCAGTTTCACGCCCGATATATGGGTCGAATGCTCTTTTTGCGCCGATTTCAAGTATTGTCTATGTGCGGGAGCGTTTCATCGCACCCGTCACACACAAATAGAAATTCGCCAACCTTAAAATGATATCGCGCGCGGCGCGCTAGTGTTGACGCGTCCCGACCTACACCGGAACTGTTTTACAGGGAGCCCATAATGAAAGCACTTAGCGCTAAGCGAAGCAATTATAAGTAATTTGGAGAGCGGTAATGGGCGCGGACAAGCGATGCGCAAAAACGCGCCAAACGTAACGCGCTAAAAGCTCCCTAATTCGATTGCCGACGTATACTTTTTAAAGTTCGAGCTGGCCGGCGCGACGGAATGGCGAAATATGCAATATTAAAAAGGATTTTCTTTTTAGGAAATAGCGAGTCGCGGATATTTTAGGGAGCTGGCTAATTGTGAAGGCTCACCGAAGATTGTAATTAAAACTGGCTCTTGTAACTCAGCAGGAGCGTACGGAAAATTCGCGGAATTCATAGTCATAAAGAAAGTGGGATTGGAGTCGGCTCGCTGCGAATGAAACAGAAATACCGGGGCTCAGGCGACTTTGCGAGCGTCACCTGAACAGCGCTGAGCGTACCGAGCGCCTTCTTCGGCCCTGGTGATTTATGGCCGCGGATCCGGACCGGTAATGAAATTGCACCCTCTCTCCTCCCCTGCCCCCGCCACCCCGCGCGCCGGTATCCATTCTAGAAATTACTACGCAACACTGAGTCGTGCACTTACGATTGTCTCGGCTCCCTGATATCCTGGTCGTCTTATGCTAATGTTTACTTTTTGTTCAAATTCCATCAATCAATTTAAGTCGGGGGTTGCAGATCGGCGCGCGACCTAAGTAATTTGAAATGTCAATGGTAACACGAACTCTTAACTCGAATTGGAATATTCCTTGTTACTGAACCCTACATTTTCTAAAGGCGGATCAAGCTCGTGTCTACCTTGGAATGCCAGAGGGAGCAACATGGTCGACATATCAATCAACCCTTGCGAGATATGAGAAACTCTATTTCCTACAGCACAACCGAAACACTATAGAGGAAAAAAGGAGAAAAAACTACCGCAGAGAGAGAGAGAGAAAAAAAAACACATAATTCCGGGCGAGGGAAATTGCGATTTACGCGGGAAAATACCATAAAACACACATACATAGAGGCATTGTTGGGTAACTTTTAAAAACGGATCACAATGGCGCATTGAGCGTGACGCGACCGCCGCGGCCGACCGCCGACGCTTTTCAATTAAAAATTCCTGCCACCAATAAAATTTTCATTGGGGGACAAAGATTTCGTTAGTTACAGTTTGCTGGGAACTGTTCGCAACTTCTGGTGTTGTTTATCCTCTCGTTCTATTTTAACTGGGATGAATAATGGAAGCTGATGTTGAGGACATGACATAGACGCTTTTCGATTACTTTAAGACTGTCAATAAAAAACTGTTGAAGGTAAATCCTCCGCCAACATCGGTCACCGGTGACCCCCATGGCGTTTAACGTGTTAAGTGGTTTTCCAATTTTTGTTTATCGGCCATTACATAGAAACTTTGGTGGGTGGCACAAGGCAATAAGATTCATAAACACAGGTCACACAACAAAACCAATTCTTCAATGGTAATATGAATGTTCTTCGTACAATTCAACCAAAATGTAACTGTATACTGACCGTTAAGTGCTGAAACAGCCACGCTCTGAGGATATTGGTGGCCACCTTCGGGAAGATGCCTCTTTTCTTCTGGTTCTTCTTGCCGTTGGTGTCATCGTCTTCCTCGCCAGTACCTTCTCCAGAGCCGATACTCGCGTTGCTCGCGTCACCTGAAGAGAGAAGATTAGCACCGTTGAAGAAGTTCTTAGCATAGTTTACTTAACATGCAGTAATTCTCTTCTTAAATGACAATTATGAGTTTTATTAAAGTCTTGGCTGTGTAAGAAGTATTGAGGCATTGTGGATGACTTTGTTAGTTTCATATTAATTCAAATTAAGGATCTACCGTTTCAGATGGCTTCTAAATTCTAGATAATACGATGTTGCACAAAATGTGACGACCAATTTGATGGAATTTCCGATTGGATTACGCAACTAGATACAAGTTGGCTGCTGCGGTCAAATTGGCTAATGCATCTGGCACGGTACCGAGGCTGGCCAGTGCGTCCTACCTGCATGCTGCAGTGCCGAGCGAGGTCTAAAGGTCACACCCAACTAACGGCCCTCCGCCATTTTCATTTATTTGCATTAATTATTACGTATATTTATTGATTTCTGATAGCGACTTGAAATAATATAGTATAGTTGTTACCTATAATTATGCCACAACGGTATTTATTTGAAATACACTCATTTATGTTAAGCTTGTGTTTTGTCTTGAACATCGTCCACAACAAATAACTTCTAAGATATTACATAGTTAGATCAAAACTAAGATGATCTATCCATATAGAAATATCTCTAATACATATTATGATATCTACTAATGAACGTTTCTCATGCGAATGCAAGAAACACGTACGTACATACACACAAGACAAATTCCACATAATTATAACAACGTGTTAATCGGGTACCAGGCAGTTAGCGAACGCAGGAGATGTCCCGTTTGTACACGAGAGCGTCTTATCAAACTGCGCCTGGCATATTAATTAGAAACGCCAAGTTGTATTTATTTAATCACCTGACATACCGCCGATTCCTATCTCCCTGGTACCTACGGTTAATTAATTCTTACTGTGTTTCTTATATGCATTTTACGTCATGATCATTGATGATGATAGCGATGTTCTAGATGGGAAATAATTAAATAAGATGTCTTCATATTAGTTATATCATGCAGTCACTAACTTTATAACAAAATTCACAAATAAAAACATATTTTAGAACTTGCTGTCGATCCATTCGATAGAGTTATAAGCAAACCCAAGTTGTCCGTGGAAATTCATCAGACATTTTATAAGGGTTGCTTACTGTTCCATTCGAAACAGAAGTGGCGTCTGCCTTTTTTTGCTTTGCATAAAACATGCGGATAATTTTGGATTCTGTACTACAGGTACCAGGAGAGCAGAAGCAGGCAACAGGATAAACAAATTAGCGTGCACTGAGCCGTATCAAATATTCATCGTAGCAGGAACAAATCGAATCAGTAGGTAGCGAGGTGTGAGCGTCTTATTTCCGTACTCCTTGTTGCTTTGTACAACGTTAATAATAAAAAACTGAATTTGCTGCTCGTACCAATTTCTATCCTCCATTTTGAACCTGTTTCGATGCTTTTTGTAAACACTGTAACATCAGTTCTGTCTATGTCATTGGTTTAAAATAGTGCTGTCCAGTATACGTTGTAACATTTATCGATAAAAATGAATGTCGTCAAAATGCAACGCTCCGGGCAACTGTATCGAGTGTGCGTATCTCATTCGACCGGTGGCATGCACATTGTGATGGTAATAGGGGCAAAGTAATAAAATTACTCTTAGGCCATTACCCGTCGCCCCTCGATGTTGCGTGGCCACCCCAGCGCGATATAGGGTGTAGAAGACACAATAAAACGCTTCCAGTTTGACAAAAACAACGGGATTATTGTCTGTGTAATTGTTTTATACGTGTACCGAGATTTATTTTGTTAAAATTACGTTTTAAAAGTTTGCCCGTGCGCGGTTTTTCATTGGAAAAACTTTCTCCGTGATTGTTAATTTAGTATTTTGAATTTATCTGATTCATTAATGTTGGAAAACAGATATAGAACAGGAGATCGTTTTTGAAATGTAATTAAAAAGATTTATGATTATTTTTCTCGAAAATATTTTTAATTACTCAAACAAGTAATCATCCTGTATATTTTTGAGCGTGCCAAATCAGAGTGCAGTTGCACGATGCAGTATTGTAATCCCCTAATTCATCTTAGCACACGCACACATACACACCTACCCCTAATGTTTCTAATACACCCTCAAATGGAGGAACGCAAACATAAACAGATATGCGTGCGAAAAGTCAAGAGTACAGCTTTTATCGAGTTAATTTTATCGAATTAAAAATTGCTTTTAAATGTCAGTAGTTTCTCATCACTTATGAACATTTATAATATAATTTTAAGACATATTATTACTGTTTTTATTAACATATTATTGTTAAGAAACTACATAAAGTTTTCGCCTTTTATTGATAATTTAATCAGTTTTTGTTCGTACAAACCAAACAACATAACAGAAGGTTTTTTCGATATAAAAATTCACATTCCTTCCTAATCAAGACATCGAGACCAATTTGATCAATAAAACGGATACTTCTCACTGTTAATGCTTCCCTAGTATTTGTAATAGAAACATTAAATAACACGAGTCGTATATTTCAACTAATTTTGAAAGAAATCGTAAAACGAACGATCTGTTAGGAGATCCCATATTATCAGTTTATAGTCCACACTTCATATCGGTTATGGATAAAGTTTTATGCGTTTTTTACATCCATAGCTGAAAGTTATCGTGGTCACTCTAATTTTTATGTGATGATGGACTTGAATCGTATTTAGAAATAATTTTACTACTCGTAGTTCATAAAATGGTTCTTTAGGATTTATTTTACGATTAAGCGATGATATCTGTTCGATACGGGCATTATTTGAATTTATAGGAGGTAAAAATTTATTGTATTACTTCATTTTTGTGTTGGAATGTAAAAAAGGCTGTTGATTACCCGACCTTTGGATCTTTAAGCTAAAAAAATTAGACCTTCAGCAGTAATTAACTTTTAAAAACAAACATAGCGACATATTTCTAGGTAGAAAATAAAACATTTGATCCTCTAAAAGTCCCATGCCACCATATCGGGTGTAACAAGTGAAACTGCTCATTAGGACTAATCCTGCATGGTGTGGTGTTTGCTCCCATGGCGTTTGTAAGCCGATTGCCGCAACCCGACACCGAATCCGCGACCCTCCGGCTGGGGCACGCGCCGCTGTGGTTTGGCTGCTTTGTGTTATGAAAAAAGAAAAGCGAAAAAATATTCTCTACGTGCGAAAATACTTAGCATCCATATTGTGTTACAAACACCTAGTTTTTCACTATGAATATTTTCTGTCCCATCGCCATAACTGCTAGATGCATTTAGATGAAATTTTACGCATTGGATAGTTAAAATCCTGATTTACTACATATTATGTAATCGCGATAAAATCTAAATAATGGCAATTCTAGCTATTGATTAATCGATCTAGACTTAGACAATTTCATTTTATAGAGAAAATTCGATTACGGAAAACTGTTGATGTTATTTTTGCTTGACCCGTGCAAACTACACCATTATTTTCAAAAACCATAAAACATATTTGTCAAAGACACAAAAATATAATCGAAAAATGGACGTTTTAAAATAGTGATGTCTGTACATCATTAGAGGCTCACAAAGACCTCGAGTTCTGTCGGTGACACTCCTCGGAGATTTATCGAGTTACCGACATTAGTGCAGGGCGCAAATGAGTGCAGGGACTATCGAGTTGCGCCAATCAAATGGAAGCACGCGCGTCCTAGTGATGGGGTGCGTGGGAAATATCGATATTGTCCTCACATATTTCATTTATGTTTATAGATAAACAATAATTTTGTATTGTTGTTCACAGTAAATGAAATAGAAGTACCAAATCAGAACAAGGTACAGATAAACTACCCACTTTTTAAAGTAATTATAGTTTTTTATTTATTAGTTTACATGTTTAAACAATTATTATTCTCTCATTTAAGTCGTACTTAGTCGTAAGTAATTAGTTTCTAGTTAAATAAATAGAAACACTTGTAGGTAAACTAAAATCGATCAAGCTACATTTTTCAGGAAGTCATATTTTTCAGTAGCCCCAAAATCTATTCCCAAAAGTATCGACAAGAATCACCGACATACCCACCACTAGAGGGCGACAACCGCGGTGTCGTAATACGTTCAGCGATTTGATGGATTGGCTTCTTTGCAGTCCCTCCTATTTGCAAACACCCTTATCTAAGCCATAAGGGGGGGCGGGGTGAAGCCGGGGGCTAATTAAAATTGCCACACCGATATCTATGCAGTCTACCACCACGTTATTCACTCGCGTTAAGGTCTATTTTCCCGTAAATAGGTTGTTAAATAAAGTTTGTTAACATTGCATCGGGATCGCTGGGAATGCAATATTCCAAAATGGAATTTATTTAATAAGATCGATTGGTAGATTTTGTTTGACGTGTCTAATGCGTTGATTGTGCTCTTTAGGGAATATTTTTGGTGATAATTAGCTGTTGTTAAAGGACAGCTGTGATTACCTGGTGTTTAAGGAACTTCGTTTATTTGAAACTGAATTATGGGCAAGGCGAATACAGTTGATATTTTCTTAACTAGTCAGTGTTTATCTAAAGGTTTCAATTCAATTTTTTTGAAATATTATAATGTTTTTAATGTAATCTGAAAATGCATGATATTAATGATTTTAGAAAATGATCTAAGAAATAAATATATTATGTACCTACTCATGCATGTTCCAATTAAAATTATTCTTAACATAACATAACATCACGCCTTTTATCCTCGAAGGGGTAGGCACAGGTGCACATTATGCCACTGTACAATGTAACAGCCACTTTTCACTATTTATGTTAAGAGTCCCATAGAATAGGGGGTTATTGCCATATACCTACTGGGCACAATTCCAGACACCGTGCTACTATTGAGATTTTTTTTAAAAACCCAGTCATACCCTGCTCGACCCGGGAATCGAACCCGAGACCCCTTGCCCGAGTCGCACTTGGACCACTCGGCCAACGAGGCAGTAAAATTATTCTTACTCAACAAAAAAAGCAAAAAA